AAACCTGTTAACCTTGATACATTCCTTACTGTTAATGGTATACCAGGCCTATAGTTCCTGGTGATGTTTGATGCATCATGACTTAGATGCTGGTGAAGTTTACTGCATTGGGCCTATATTTCTTGTGAGAATTAGTGTACAGTAAATGTTTCACCAGATGCAGTTGGGAATGTAATAAGGTTGACAGCTACACACACATATATATATACAGTATATATATATATACCATTTAAGAACAGTCTTAATTAAAGATTCCCCGCAAGATTGATGAAATATTTGTAAATAAATGCAAAAGAGTAATCCATGATTTGAGGGGGGAAGATACATTGGTTCACAATAACCAAGACCGACAAGGCAGACCAAGCCACGTTGGTACGAGAAATAAAACTCTTTATAAAAATCCCACAAAAATCCCTTTTTATAGTCAACCGATAAAAGTGCTTACCCACAAAGAAAAATATTAATAAAAGAATATACTGCTGCAATAAATATTTAGTAATTTGATTAAGTACAATGGCCAAAAGGAAAGTATATAATTGTGAAAACAAAGATTCTCAGGAAACATAGTTACATCTACAGTACAGTATACAGTACTATATTACAAACATAAAAATCATAATACAGTTATGATAAGATTAAAATACTGTATTAATAAACTAACTTTATTAATTACCACACATGAAGAAATTTGTAACATAATCATACAATGTATATAATCCTAAAACCTAATCATCTTAAACTAATAATTCTATAGTATAAATAATAACAAATGTGGCTGAAGACTTTTGTAAACAATATGGGCGACATTATCTAATACTGTACAGTACAGTACATTGTTGTACAGTATAAATAATTTAAGGTGGATAAGATGTCATGCCTGTCATCACCATCACCCAAGAATGTTCCAGGATCTCTCAAAATTTTTATCTGGTGTGTGTGTGTGTATTCAGGAAAATATATGTTGATGTGGATAACTAATGAAGATTTTGGATGAGACTATACTACAGTAATAATAAAAATATAAGTTTATTCTATATCTATAAGAACAAATGAGTTTATTCTAAATCTTCTTGAGGAACCAATAAGTTTGTTTTAATACCTTATGAAAGATCAATAAAATTGTTTTAATGCTTCTTGATATGATCAATAAATTGTTTCACTGTGCCATACACCCCTGAATAAATGTACATACAGAATTTCAAACAACTAAATAATTAGGAAGCTAATAATTTTTGTGGTACAGCTATACATTGCTCGTGTCATGGTTTACAGAAGCATTTATAAAAGTTATGAAATAAGAGTTAGGAACGTGAGTAAAAGTAGTATGTAATGTATGACGAAACACGTGTTATATCCAATGTACCACAGATAATGAACCTTGCACACAGGATGCCCATAACTTAAAGTACAGTTACACTTACTCAGTCATTATTTATGTAAGGCATCATCATAAAATAATACAATAAAAACATACAGTTATCTGAAGAAAAAATGTAAATAATATTGTGTATTTACTTGTACTGATCTATGGCAATTTCAATGGCAAAACAGTTCATTTCCACCAATGAAAAATCACACTAACTTAAAATACAGTAGATTAATTTTGTGAACAAAGATAAACAGTAGTGTACAATACGGTAGAGTATATGTATTACTGAAGTAATATTATCACTTACCTTTATTGCCTTTGGTGATAATATTAAAAGAAAACTACAATGTGTCACACTGGCGACACAATATCTTAACATAGTCCAAGGTTTTAACAATGACAGTCAAAAGCTGTGTTAAGATTCACCCACTGGCTGAGAGTCCACAATGTTACCAAATGAATATTAATTAAAGTATAAAATTTTTAAACATTACGGCTTCAAAATGTTTCACTTCCGACAATTATGAAGCACTGTAGTGTCCAGTACAGTACTTTAAGTACAATACAGTTCTGTATGTATAATACTGTACTGTACAGGTATTTCCACATCTGGAATAATACATATTAAAATGTGTTACTGTACTTTTAGTGCCTGTATCCATTTACTATACTGTACAGTATTGTACTCCTGTTTTTCAAAATAAAAATAAATTCAAAGCAGCTGCCTGTTAAAAGAAATTGCAGGATAAGTTTGAAAGTGAACATTATTAACTGCATTGAATTCAGTGGCAACCCAAATATCCATTGTCCTTACCCTAATCTCTGATCTAATATTAAAAGCCATCTGCCAGTACACTCTATAATTTCAGAGTTGTAAGCTCTTCAAACTACAGTACAATGATTTTTTGCAAGGTTATATACATTTTGCATGCAGTGATAACAGATGATGAAATATAAAATGTTTCTTTAGTCATATTCAAGCACAGTGCCATTGCCCGTGATACATCAGGTGGAGGCAAATAATTTCTCCATACACTTTATCTGCCTAAGGAGGTGGGGGGACATCCACTAGAGGTATCAAGCTACCCTTTGCAATACTAAAACTCCCCGTGTAAAGCAAAAATGAAATTACAATGTCTGACAGTCAGTCACTATTGCAGAGCAGATTTTGCAATTCATATTTCAAAACTATGTTGCTCTTAGCTATGTGAGCCATATGAAAAGTACAAATGTCACCACAAGACGTGACTTTTATTTGTTCATGTGACAAACCTGCTACTGTATGTCATTGTTAAAAAAACTGGAATGTTCTCATGGATAATTTGTTGCTTGTACAAACTACAGTACTGTATACTATGTAGAAAAGATAAGTACCTTAAAAAGCAAAATATTTTATCCTAGAAATGTCACACAAAAGTCTTGAAGAAACAAAATAGTAATATGCCAAAATGTTCATGATCAGAGCCTGCTTGACTACTTATTCTACTCATGTTAATAAACACAACTTTATCTTACTCCTTCCTGCTTATCATTGTACAGTGTAATAAAATAATTTGTCCTGAACATGGTGAAGTACAGTACAGAAAATTGAGTTAAAAGATAAACAGGATACAGGTAGTCCCCGACTTGCGACCGACTCGACTTACGTCCACCCGCACTTACGATCGCCTCAGTCGTGCCAAAATGTGGTCGTCAAATTATGAAATTTTTGAGTCCCAAAGTCAGTACTCAGACAATATTTTCATCTTTAATTCACTTTAAAATGGCTGGCAAGCTTAAAAGTGAGTGTTTTGTGGTGCTGAGAAGAAAAAGAGACCCAAATTTTCGATTTTCTGTGTGTTATTTAAGCATTTCCGACTGACGACCATTTCGACTCACAACCGGGATGTCGGTCCCTAACCCCGTCGAAAGTCGGGGAGTACCTGTGTATGTATAGATATATATAGATATATATATATATATATATATATATATATATATATATATATATATATATATATATATATATATATATATATATATATATATATATATATATATATATATATATATATGCTGATAACCACAAGGAAAGAAGAAAACACGAAGTTCCCAAGCGCTTTCGTGTAATTCACACGAAAGTGCTTGGGAACTTCGTGTTTTCTTTTTCCTTGTGGTTATCAGCATATACCTGGATCACGCACACCTACAGTGATTTACTTGCATATATATATATATACACACAGTAGAGCATATAAGCATATACGGTAGTTTGCGTACTGTACTACAACATCACACAAGTGTGCACTCCACACAAGACACTCTGGGGGTTCTCTATGAACTATATAATTATATTCCAAACATTAAATAATGACTAATCACTACACTGAATTAGAAATATAGTTTATACAACCAAACTGGAGTAAAAACTCCAACTTATCGCTACAAAACCCTTACAAATTACCATGGATATTTTCCTCGTGTACACTACCATCCTCAGAGTACTATATGTAAAAAAACATCTTTATCAACAAAGTCTTGAATTAAAGAAATTATCACAAGCCTCCACATGCATTTGAATATTGTGTTTTTGCATGAGTGATGCAAGAGAGCATTAGATAAACCAAGAGAGCTTCATATATATATATATATATATATATATATATATATATATATATATATATATATATATATATATATATATATATATATATATATATATATATATATGTGGGTGTGTGATTTAAGTGAATTCTAATGCCACACAGCTGTTAAAGTCGTTGATGACCGGAATATTGTAAGTAGAGAAATGATGCTTGACATCCCATTTTATAGCCAAAGGTGTGAGACAAATGGTTTGTAAGACACCACTGAGTAGAACATCTTGGTGACTGGCTTGTCTAAAGGGAAGTCACACCACCTTATAGATGACTGTGAATACCATAAGACATCTTCTTGTCCACTGAACCCACAAACTCACTCTCTCCCAAAGACTTGTGAACCTTCCCAGGCAAGTTCATCCTGGTGATCTTAAAGTCTGACTGGACTTTAAAGCATCCACAAGGCTAAGTGTTTAAAGCATTGTTTCAATCCTGGTGTGATGGATGAGGAGTTGTTATTTAGAAATTTACGTTAATATATAAAGTTGAGTAACCTGCTACTGAACAAGTCAGAACTTTTGGTTTTGTTCTTGGTGGTAAATCTTACAAATCACTTGTTGATGATCTTAAGACTATAAAACAGTTTCCTCATTGTAACTGGAAGATGTGAATAATAAAGGTTATCAATAATCAATATATTACTTTCACAGGTCCAAGAGTGAGACCTGAAGAAATATTAACGAATTCTCTAAATGTTTTTTGTCAACCCACAACACATAGATGTTAAATAATGTGCCAGCTTTATTCACTCTTAAAGATGAGTTACTGGACTACCTAATGATCCGAGATAGAAAAACCTACATATTGTACCGTCCAATGCCTATATTTAAAGCTATCACCTATGACATAAACAAACAACTACCATAATCTATGGTAACACTACCAAGGATGAAAAATTTCCCAATAGTGAAAAAATAAATATTTCCCGGGTGACATGACGCCTTCACTATCCCCAACAAAACTTACTACTGCATAGATCTTACGTTTGTTCCTTTAAAAAAACAAATGACTGCCAATATCTGATCACAAGCATAGTAACCAACATGCATCATAACACTTCCTGGGCATCTCGTATTTTTTAAGAGTTTAATCAATAATACACAGTACAGTACAGTATAAACCTTAAGTGTCTTACCCATCTTGTAAATGACTCCCCCCCCCCCCAAAAAAAAAATTGGTGCACATTGCTGCTACATAATTCTTAAAATTATAATTCTAAAACCATCTGTAGGAGATGCATGGCACCACTTAAGACTGTGTTTAGTCAGTACATGTACAGTAGTCCATGAAGCACCCCAGAGCCACCCAAAACATCCTCCTCAGTGTGATTAATGATGCCTGATATGCTGGCATGTTTTGTGAGATGCGGTAACTCTGTACATGTTTATATCTTATTAAAACTCCTTGAATGACTCTAAGGAATGCCACAATAATAGCCAGATTATGGATACTTAATAAACATTCCACAGAATTGCTACATTTCACACACTTCTGCAACTGTACCAGGTATAAGTGCAGGCAACTGTACATCACCATGGCAGATCACCAAAGTCTCTGTAACACCACAAAAAGTAAATACAACTTATTTCTCCAATTTATAGTGATTTCAAAGATATATAAAATATGGTTTTACTGACACAGGAAGTTAATATTTGTCTAAAAAATCACTAAGGTTACAAAAGTGAGTGAATTATGTATTGACTTGTATACAGTTCTTTACTCATGCCCATATTCCTGTGAAATACAGAGTGGTTCCTTTCCCCCCCAAATTACACCAATAGACTTAATGAACACTATAATTTACTATTTTTGTACATGTGTTAGTTATACATGTACAATCATCATCTTCATCATTAGTAAACATATATAATATCAAACCTAAAATAATGCCCTTCTCCTTTACAATAAATCCAAAAATTATACAAATATTTCTGTACTAGTATCATGTCATCATAATCTGATACAGATACGTTGTAGGAATCACTATACTAGTACTGATGTATTTACGGTAAACAAAAGTATGAATATGTATGAATGAATACAGTAATATACATGTAGTCCAATTGTCTTTAAGTTAGATTGTGTAATTGTCCTCACAATATAAAACACACACTGCTGTTTATACCACTGATGTAAACTAGAAATCACTTAAAACACTTATCAAAGATTTATCTGTTATTTCTTCGATATATTAAATGACATAACCGCTTCCCTATCAAAAACATCAATGCAATTCTGGAGGTCTTCGAAGGTTCCGGATGTTGTTATCTAGGTTCGTCTCATAATAGTTGCCTTGGTTTGTGAGGTCTTCCCCTAAGTTCATATCCTGGTGAGTGTCTTCTTGTTGATGGAACTGCTGAGGAACTTCCACAGCTCCCACGAGGTTGCCGCTCCTCCCGAGGTCTTTGTTGTCCTCTTGGCCGTTGTCCTCATCTACGTTCTCATTGTTGTGCTTGACCTCGTTCCCTTCTTCGTCTTGGTCATCCATGAGGTCCTCAACGATTTTCTCCTCTTCGTCTATGGCTGCGTCCAAATTGTCTGCCATGTGAGAGATACACCAGGAATAAAGAAAAAGAACCCAAGACAGTTATAGTATGATGGGGCTGAGATTACAGTACTATACCTACAAGTTCACCCAAGACAGATTCAATAATACACACAGATATGCCCCCTTAAATGATAGTGTCGTCAAGTAATACAGTATGACTGAATAATAATCCTGACTTCATTTATTTATAATTCCAAAAGTGAATCGGAGGAACTGCAATGAGGATATCATATTCAATAAATTATTTCCAAGGTTTATAATCATGAACAGTACAGTATGGTAACTATAAGTAATTTTTATGTAGTATAAGTAGTCTCCTGTCACTGTAAGGTTGTTATCCTTCTCAAAATGGGTGTACAGTACTGTCATAAAACAGTCCAATGTAGACTTGTAACAAATTTCTTACATTACAGAAATAACTTGGGACTTGGCAAATGTGTTGTTTCACTAACAGAGCACAATCCATTGGATGGTTTATTTCCATAATACAGTATTGCTGTGAATACTTTTTGTAGTGATTCAGCAGCATCCCTCTAATCACAATATTTATCTGAAGCTGAGCCTCTCAAGCTAAGTGTTTAACAGTATGCACCTTCATGACAGTATTGTACAACACTATGTAGTATAGTGCAGTACAGTATAGTACTGTACATAAACACTGATAATGGATTATGCAGGTTGATCAGTAAGAACCATTTACAGTATGGAAAGAAAAGTTACAGAACAGATTTTGTTGACAAAATCAGAAAAGCAGTTTAAAGGGAACAAAGGGATTTACATATCTAATAAATTTCTATTTCTATGAAAATACAGAAGTTAACCAATGTACTATACTTTCTGGGAAAAATATTACCCAGGTAAGCAATCAATCAGTCAGGTAACACCAAATACTGTACACCTTTCCCAACACCCAAAGCATGATGGAACAAGTAGAATCTTCACCAAAGACTCACCCTTTGTGTCCAAATATAAGTGAAAATCTGGTAAAAAATGAGACATGTATCTGCTGATGTCACCAAGGTAAAAGGAAAACAAGTTAGATTCAAAGGCAGTTAGGGTGTTTATTAACATTTAAGTGACTGGTAGAGGAGGTTGGGATGTACATTAACAATTAAGTACAGTAACTGGTGGAGGAAGTTGAGGTGTATAGTACATTAACACTTAAGTGACTGGTGGAGGAAGTTGGGATGCAGTGTTCATTAACAGTTAAGTGACTGGTGGAGGAATTCAGGGTAAAACAAAAAAAGAAAAGAAAAAAAAGATGAAATATACGAGTAAAACAAAATTCGTTATCACTGAATTTATGGAAATGATTGTTTGATGTGGATAATATTCTCATGTGTGCAGTTACATTCTAAATAAAAACAAATATCTCAATGGCAAGTACAGCAGCTACTGTAAAAATCTGGCATTGAAACTAACTACGTACAGTGATATTCAGTACAGATTGTCATTAGAAAAAATACAAAATTTAACAACTGCTACAATATACAAATTACATACACTACCTTTTCTACATGTGTTGATGATGACATACTTATAAATAATCTTGAGAGAGAACTTAATCTTAAAATAAAGTGTGTGAGTGTGTGTGTGCTCAAGACAACACACTACAGTATGGATAGGTAATGTGCATGGAGAAGAATTTTTTTGTATTATTTCCAAGTGCAGCTTCAAGTAACACATTTTAGCACACCATTATTTTACTGTGCCAGAAGCTACCTGTAAAGACCCCATTACCCCAATACTTGTCACCTTCTAAATCAAAATATACACTTGGCACCAAAAGCTGAATGGAATATGGAAGACCCAAAAAAAGAGAAACATCAGGATATACAAAACTGTACATCAATGTTAGATATAAAGCAAATACAACACACCTCAGAAACCAGTAGCCCTTCCTAGCATTTAGAGCCACATCCTTGGTACATAACTGGACATCCCAAAGGCCATTCAATAAGCAAAGCATGCAAGCAAACTCACACTAACTCACTTCCTGCAGGCAACAACCAACAGACAGACAAAACTAGGTACTTCTACTCATGTCCAGGCTGTTGCGGTTGGTTGAGTTCTTCCTGTGCATTTGGGGCATTTACATCGTCTTGTTCTACGTTCTGTGCTTTTGGTTCAACGATCTGTTCTTGAGCTTTAAGTTCAACTGGGCGATCTTGTTCTTTTGGTTCATCGATCTGTTCTTGAGCATTAAGTTCATGTGGGCTATCTTGTTCTTCTGGAACATCAATCAGCTCTTGAGCATTAAGTTCAAGTGGGCCATCTTGTTTTTCTGGTTCATCGATCTGTTCTTGAGCATTAAGTTCAAGTGGGCCATCTTGTTCTTCTGGAACATCAATCTGTTCTTGAGAATCACCTTTAGTTTCATGTTCTTGGTTTTGTGTGAAAAATCCTCCTACCTGACTGACTCCCTCCTCCACCTGTGTGCCACTTTTAAGAAACCACACTTCATTTTTCTTCCCGTGTAAGTCATTATCTCCTCTTATTTCTATCTCTCCATCTAACATCTGAGTTTTACCTTTTCTCATTTGTTTCTCCAACTTTCTTAAATTTCCTACATTTGTTGTGTTCGTTACATTAAAACCTGAAACATCACCTGAGAGTGAAAAATTTTAGTTTATACCGAGTGTATAAAATAATTCTTGGATCATTTTCTTGTTATATACTGTAAATACTATGCATCTGCATAAATTCTGCATAAAGTAGTTGGTAACCTTAGAGTACTGTATGAAGGCACCAAATATCTCCAACTAACTGCATGCAGCACTTACCCGGTATATATCTTATCAGTTCAAGCATTTGGGAAATTAATTTATTAAAGTTCAAATAAAAACGCTGTAAATCTTTGGTAAAGTATGTGGCAGTAATATAAAAAACACAAGTCATTATTACACACCTGAGAGAAACAAGAATAATAGAAAGAACAGGTAACAGGACTGAGACAGTATAGCACAACCAGTGTAAGGAGTGTTAACACCTTCAGGAAAAAACCTATAAAGTGAAAAATGCCAAAACCATCTTCTGCCGTGTGTGGCAGCTACCATATACATAGAGCAAAACAAAATTATGTACAAAACCTTTAAATAGTCATATTTCTTAGACAGCTTGACCGATTTGATTTTTTGTTTTACATTTTACAACTAAAATATACACTTAACTTTTCAATTTATTGCAGATTAACTGGTGACCTTAATACTTATGTACGACTAAAATGTATTAGATACAGTATATGAAAGTGTTTATACACAACCTGGTGTTAATGTTGAACTCCAGAGACATTCAAGCCAAATAAAGTACCTGTACTGTATTAATCCATTTACCTTATAGTGTACTCTGAGGTGCACCAGTTCCACCTATTTAGTTAGGAATGAAACAAAGTTGTAGAGAATTTGCAAGCTTAAAGTCCTGGATGTACTGTACAGTACATTATAAACAATGTACTGTACACTCCTACCAACATTTACAACCAGAAAATGTGGAGGTTTTAAATGTTTATATGAATTTCCTATAACGTTTGATATAGGTCTTCTGCTTTATGTAGATGGGAATGGGGTATGACTGGCAGGCAAACATGCATTACTTCTACTCAATCAGAGAGCAAGGAAATGTAGCCCAGGAACCCTCAACACATTAACCCCACTGGATAATCTTCCTATACACTACTGGACGTAAAATACTGAACACCTAAAAGCAGACCTCGGGAAACCAGCAATAGAATGATATGTTTGACCGTTACATAAAAGTCCTCACTAAAACTTGTGTCCACGGGTACTAAGAAATATATACAAAGAAAAGAAATAGCACATGTAGAGGTTAAAAAGAGAGAGAGAGAGAAAGTGGGAGAGAGTAAAGTTAGAAACCATGTGGGTGGGTGACCGTTTACCTGGAGTGATCAAGATGAAGAAGAGTGAGGAATGAAAAGATGAAGGAGGAACAAATCTGAATTCATCTAGGGTTGACCATGACCATTACCAACACACTCCACTGTATTCATATTAACAATCCATGAGACAAATTAGTGCCATAACAATACTATCTGTACAGTATTTGTATTGCAACGAGAAAGGTGACATAGTGTAAAGAACCACATTAATAAGTGAATGATACTATTTATAAACAAAAGATGTGAGAAAAACAATGGATGATCCCACAGCCATGGAAGGGAACACCCATAAAAACTTCACCATCAAAATGCACTCGTACAGACAATGGGAGACTCAGCAAATCTCTGATCAAATTGGGTTAGTCTTTTGTCATTGGGGAGAATTGGTTGAACACAAAATTTAACATACGTCCAGACAGATGGAACAAGTAGTGACAACATACCCCTGGCCTTAGACCGACATCAACAAAATAAATATACACTAATCTTAATTAATAATATAGATGAGTACATCATACAAAATGTTATTCATCTTTTTCAGTACAGATAAACTGTACAAAGAAAGAATATTCAGATAAGAGTGACTTAAGAGATGAAACACAACAATGGACAACAAATTCATTACTTAACCAGATTAATGATGATGGATGGATAAAGACACACTGTTCTGTAACTAATGTACCAGCATAACACTGTATTATATTCATGTTTACTAGACATTTAATATCGGAGACAACACACACTTGGTCTGACAAATGTCTAAACCAAAATAAGTCACTCAAAAAGTGTTAAAATATCTCGGTATGGAACACTTAACTTCATAAGTCTGAGCCACTATCATCAGTCTTTCTTTAAAGGTGTTTTCTACAAATCTTTTATCTATAGATTTTTTAAATACAGTACCAGTAGTAACATATTCTTATTGTGGATTCTGTGAGTCTTCTTTTCTGGTTGTTTGTTTTGCCCTTCTCAGCCTGTTTCAAATACCTTTTATGCATATTAATATTCACTGATAAATACACCTGCCTCCAGTTTATGTCTGAGTATTTCAATCCATTATTGTTTTCAGCTAATCGGAATCACTAGATGGAAAAGCCACTAAGTCAAGAGGCAGCAGGAGATGTGTTAGCCAAACCAAACATATATTGACGACTTCTTCAAACTCCTATCACTTTTCCTCACTCCTTACAAAACAGCTACTCCTTATCATATGTCCATCTGTCATGCCCAGTGGTGTGATGACTCCTTCATCGCTCTCATCCATGATAATGACCTCAAGAGTTTGATTACCTCCAAGAACTATGCCGGAGAACTTAAGACAGGGAAATGTCTCTAGCCCAATGATAAGTGCCTACATCATTTGACTTCTATGGCCTATAATAAGATTACAGTATGCTCAAATTGTAGACTATGGATCTGTTATACAACCATTCATTAACTCTTTATGTATCCCCAATGCTGTACTATTTCTTTATTGTGTTAATGCAAATCACTGCTACAGAGATCACATATATGTTTGGGTTTGCTATACAGTCTCAACTTTTTAGATAACACATTATATGATGAAATTATCTACATGACCCCTGAAACAATTTTTATCTCAACATATCACGAATCTCCACTAGTAACAACTCACAGGGCCAATCAGTCTGCCATTAAGAGATTCTATTTCACATTTCATTCACAATTTTCTATGGCCCCACAAAATTCTGTCCTTATAATGGAAGGTGGAGGAAAGTCATTGCCATACTATATGCTTACAGAAGCTTACATCAGGCATGAAGCATTTAGTTCAATTTATTTTACAATCACATGCAATTAATTACTGTATTTATATCTACAGTTCAGGGAAATTTCTCCTCAAAGCCACCATAAACAAAGCTCACTAATTCTCAGTCAATAACAATTGTTTACAGTAATACACATATTGCTGTGATGAAACGTGACAATTATAAAGCTTGAAATCAACAGACAATGAATCCCACGAAGCTGATACGAAGCTACATGTTGAATTACCTCTTACCGCGCACTCCAGGCAAGACCCCATCATAATCCTCTACATCTGGGTAATGATTCTCACCCTCATTATCTGCAACATCTTAAACCATAAATTTCATCAGAATAAAACAGTTGACTAAATTACCACTGAAAATACTGGGCGTGTATATTTACTGTTCAGCTTCATAACTTAAGAGAGTACAGTACAGTACGTATAGCCCTTGAAACAACTGACTACTGTACTGTACATTTATATTGATAATATATATTCTTTTTCAAATATTTGGAAAGAAAAACATGTGAGAACCTCTAGGGAATTCACCCCTCAGCACAACACTTGCATGCCACCAGGGTCCTTGCTAGTTTCCTGGGCCAATCCTTGACTAACTTCTCAATGAATGTATATAATATTTTCTCTTAAGTGTTTCCCTGTCCTCATATCTACATATGAAAGTAATCTCTTACATAATACTGTGAACTTGTTCCTGATTATTCTCCTAATAGAGATAAGTAAACATCAATATAAAATAAGCACGATATTAATGTGTCAACAGACTCAATATACTGTATTGTTGTCATCCCCTTAGAGAGAGGTTCCCGGGGGAGTGAAGTGTTGCACAGGAAAAAAACTACCACAGGTTTGTTTCTCTTACTGTCTCCCCTACCACCTACCCGGTACAGCACTTGTCTATATTTCTCAACACTAACATAAAGTCACAACAGTATTGCTCATCAAAAACCTTTATATTCTAGTGTAAGTAAGAGGCAAGTGTTTCGGCTGTCTCAGAGTCACACCAAGAAGCAGAGGTTTTGAGCATAATTGCTGTGCCTTTTGACTCACTACAGTTCATAGTTTGTAGGAAATCCAAAAATTTGGTGAAGATTCTGTATGCAGCATCAGGCTTATACATCAAGAAAGTTTGTGACATGATTCACTCACTATAAAAATAACTTATAAATGAAAAACACAATAACAATTAATTACAGTACTAGCACATACCAATTAATGTCCTAAAATTAGTTTACAAATATGCAGAAAATTTTTACCTGTATCTCTAAAAATACAGTACAGTACAGTATTGCATAACTAAAAATTTACATAAAATTATTTAAAATAGCAGTACAAAGCTAATAGCATCCTAAAACAAAAAAATATCCCAATTGCTTCACATACACTCTGAGACAAAGCTATAATCAAACACCTTAGTCATAATTACCACCTTGTAACATAATATACAGTATGGCAAAATAGTGTGGGAAAATAAAACTTTAACATATAAGTGATTATCTGGATTCTGAAACATACAATTCCTTACTGCACATTTAAATTTCTTGAACACAATCTCAAATTTCCTGCTCATCATTTAAATGTCTTAATTATTATGATTTTTAGCCCATTAAATACATATCGTCAGCAGTACAGTACAGTATTCAACTTATGAGATTATTGATTGAATATTCTCGTCTGTTTCTGTGAGTGACATTCAGGAGCAAGTTAAAGATGTGTTGACAAGTATATTGTGATCACTAACACAATCCACTCACCCAGTCTCTCTTCCTGCTCTATCATTTGTTGGTAAATGAATACTAAAAGAATCATCCTGGAAATAAGCATCTAACAGCTTTCTCGACTATCATTGGTCAAATTGTCTCACTGTTTAACATTGTTGTATACCTGCACTGTCTCGGCACATAGGAAACTGTATTCTGTACTACCATGGCCTACACTGTATACCTACACTTGACGATATTCTTGCTAACCTGTATAACTGCAGAGTTTATACTGTATGCAGTACATGCCTACCATACCCAAATGTAAACTTGTATGAGTTTTACTGAATTATTATTATTATAAAGGTGAGTTTACCCGCCCAAAACTCATATACTGTGCAGTGTAGATACATATTAAGTACTCTAATAGAAATGTTTACTAATAACAAAAGTGATCAAGAGCTACGCTGATGTTAAATAAGTCGGCGAACTAACAGTCAGAGAGAGTGTGAAAGATACAATACATGTTATAGCTTACAAGCAGCTATGACTTAAGAAAAAAAGTCAAACCTCTTTTATCCCTTGGTATATCCTTTACTCTTTGGTCCTGGGCTGCATGTAAGTAAAAACAATGTTTGTTCATCTTATTTACTGTATAATTAAAAATAATATTAATTTTTAGAATACATACTTAAACAATGTTCTCCAATGTATATCATAATAATATATTAGAATAAAAATTTTTTTTGAAGAATTTCAATTAAACTGTAACCACATTTAAGATTGTATGGGCTCAAAAAAATGTACACACTCACACACTGCCTTACCGATTTTCAGGGAAATCACGTAAATGTTTGTATTACAACAGCAACATTGTCTTCAGAGACCTCACACAATACTGCCATTATACTGTAATACTGTAGTACAAACATTCACAAGTTCTCCATAAAAATCTGTAATGCATTGTGCTGTAAAGATATACATTTCTCATCTGGAAAAAAACAGAGACAGTCAGACAGGTTATCAGCTTGTTGACCTTCATCATACATTCCTCAGGTAACATGACTCCCAGTTGCTTTTTATTCTTGTTTATAATCCAGTAAGTCTAATGTTTGTTTACATGTTTTGCCCTCAAGTACATTGTCTATGAATATTTTACCCTGTTACTTTATAAAACCTACAAGTCTTTACCATAAGAAAAAAATATTATTTAAGTTTGTAATTTCATAACCCCAGCTAAAATTAATTACATTTCCTTACATGTGAAATATTTCTCTATTCATTTTGTCTTAAAAGAAAGAATTAAATAATATCACTGGTATTACTCTCACTTCTCTTCTTGGAGGTATTTGTTTCTCAAGTGATTCCTAACTACAGTGGAGGATTGTGTTCTCTCCTTGTATACTGTACTAGACCTTGTGCACATGAGTAAACAATTGGCTGCGCATGCTGATGGTGGAAAAACATTTTAGCAGAGTGCCATTCTGTTAAGGGAGTGAGGTAGCCCATGAAGTGATAGTGCTAAGAATGAGAAGACCAGCACCTGCCAGGCCACCCAGCATCATAATAAGGAAAGCTTATGTACATGGCAAAAAAATCCTACTCATTTTTGGTGAAATGGTCATAGATGGGGCGAGCAACACAGAAAAGTAGGTGGTGAGCAGCACTGAGACTAGTGATGGGTCTACAGATGACCTAAGAACCACTGGAGTGACTGAGTTCTATGCTGTGTTTATCTCAGCATTACATATTCCCTCTTTTCTTAAAGCTTCGCCCACTTTTGTCGGGACAGTACCTTCTACTATGCTGGAAACTTGCCTATGAATTAAAATTCCCCACTCATATACCAACTAGAACTACTGTATGGTTCTAAATATTGTGAGTACTCCTTCACAACTCCTTTTGTTGCTATTTTGAAACTTGAAGCAAAAAATTTACACAGAGAACAGTAACACATTCTTTTAACTCTGTTTATCCTGGGAGTTTAAATGTTCAGTGCTTAGAAAAAATCTTCATTCATTGTCATTAAATCTTTTAAAGGATTCCTCATTTTGAGCCTTGACAGCAACCTTTCTTATCTAGATAAATCATGTTAGAGAGTGATGCTCCAGCTCTGAGTCCCACTAAAGATTACAATAAAAGTTACTATGAAACAGTAAACCTATTTTGTAAAATATATCACCACTATCACTATCCTATTGTCTAACATTAAAAAAGCACATCAAAAGAAGTTGTTTTATGATTGCAAAGCCCCACAACCAACACCAAAAAGACTTATTGTACAGTAGTTAAAATTATTATTCCATCTATTCATTGTCCCCCACTTGCTACATCTCCCCCAACCTGGAATACTGTCTGAGTGACAGTACTGTAGTCCAATTTGTGTTACTCTGAAATGTGGTTGTATTTTTTCTCCATTTTTGTGACTTTTTATGCATTACTCTAGTAGTCATGAAGTTCATTGATGAAACCAGTGGTTAAGTACTGTACTGGTACCAGTTCCTCATATTGATAACTCTTATATATCTTTAGATTACTGTTTGGCTAATAATGAACACAGAGGAGACAGAAGATAAAGGTGACACATATTAAATCAACAGGGATACAAAGATTATTATACAGTACAGGTATTTGAGAAAGGAGAAGAAAATGATCAATGACTATAGTTCTTACTGATCATCCTGGCTATTATTGCTAATTATATATGACAGAGTAGAGTGATTGAAGCGTCATTTTTTAGAACACTTGAGTGAAGACCTTGGTCACCAAAACACAGACAAAACTTGGGGACATTACAGCAGATAAGAAAGAAAAAAAGAGGGTAAGTCAGAGTTGCTTTTTGATTCCTCCCCCTGTAAACAGAACAGTAGGTGAAAAATTGCAAGAGAAAAAAAGTTGTAGACAAATACTGTGGACATACTGTTAATAGTAATAAAAATATGAAAGAAACTATTGGTACTGGGATATCACAGCATGTAGTGATGTAATCTGTGAAAGAGATTACTATATGGAGTACAGTACACAAGTCAAATGAAGTGTGGATGATTGAGTTTACTGGTAGATGGTATAAAGTGATGAGTGAACAAACTCAACATATCAGGGATTCAACGAAGGCATAATTATGTGTATATGAGTGCTGGGCGAGACAGATGGTGTAGACTGACATATATGTGGGTGTTGGATGAAGTAGAGGCAGGTGGTGGGTGGATGAACTATACTCTATTAAACCCTTCATACGATTAGTTGACCTAACCTAACCAGACAGAGGCAACATATCCACAGGGAGAGACGAAATGTACACTGAAGAACGTTGATGATTAGTGTACGAGAGATGGTGTAATGGAAAGCTGAGCAACACAGAGTACGTAATACACAAGCAAGACCACCCAATGTGTCATAAGAAATTCCACCCAAACACAATCCTGACTTAAAAGAGTAAATTAGCATGTATCTTATTATCATGTTAAGCTTCACCAATTGATCCACTTCATTCAGTTATGCATGGAGTGAGGCTGATAGACAGACAGACAGACAGACAAATAGATAGATAGATAGATAGATAGATAGATAGATAGATAGCTGTGTTAAAATCTTGGGAGACTTATCACAATGTTGGTTTGGTAATTAAAAAGGGGAATCACTAGTTGCATATTTATTTATTTATCCAAATAATAGATGCATCAAGCACTAGCAACAACCACATCTAAACAACAATACCGTGGCGATGGGAGAGCATAAACTGTGAGCCATCTTGAGAGACATCGATGTTCAGTCATGTCAGCTTATGATTAGTAAGCTTGGTATGAAAAGCTCGACTTCAAATGCATCTATTGTAAAGGTTTAAGAAGGAATAATCATGGAGAAATAAAATGGTCCACTAAGATCTTTAAAAAAAACCCTCCCAGTACTATGATTAAAAAGAAAAAAAGAAAAAATTCTGTTGTGTATTTCGTAGAGTAAATAATAATAATTGTCTGGCCAGTGTTAAACGAGGTTTGTTGCCAATAATCCTTGTATAAGTTGGGATACTAACACTCATGATCAACTTTATGTACTAGTCTAACTTTGAGCTAAAGTTATATTCTGTAATATATTTCACTGCTTTACATATTGATAATCTGGTTTTAGTTTTATTTCATCTATATTAAGGTTTAACAGTAAGATTCTTGACATTTATATTTACTAACCTACCCTGACCTAGCCAAACCTAACCTAACCTAACCTCAGCTGTACCTTTTAACCTCCTCTTTCTGCATATGTGCATTTTTGTGTGTTTGTTTGAGAGCTTATATGTTTACCTAATATAAGTGGAGTGTAGTGTGGATGTTGGGTGAGGCAGATGGTGGAGTGTGACATGTGTGTGGATGTTGGATGAAGCAGGTGGTGGGTGGATGAACTATTGTACACAGTAACCTGAACTTATGATGACTTTCACTACTGTGTCTCTCCTCTCCTCACAACATTTTCTTCCCCCCTTATTTCGAATTATTTTTAATAGTAAAATAAAAGAAATATAGATTATACAAATTAACAAAACTTATTTTTTGACTAGAGGATTTTTTTCATTCAAGTAAACAGCCCTCAAAAAATGACTATCATTATTGGCCAGAAGGAAGAATGTACTATATTGTATTGCATTGTATTTCAAGATGTGTTCTAGTAGGGAGGAGTACAATACAGTATTTCAAATATCAAGGCACGAGTTTCCCTCATCACAAATCTCAACGATGAAAGTAAGCTGCAATCACTACATGCTGAGGTAGCTTTCTATCTATCTATTAATCTATTAACCTCACTTCATTCCCAACAACATGAGAGAAAAGAGTTTGGTTACATCACACACAGTCTCTGATGACTCACTAGTGGTCACTTTACAACTACAGTATGTCAAAACTCACAATTTATGATCTCCATCTATGTATGTATATGTAAATATTAAAAGCAGTGCAAATCAAAATGGTTACAAAATTTTTTTTAGAAAGCAATGTGATTACAAACACCTTCATACATATTTTGATTTATAAAAATAAGAACTATTCTGGAATGACAGATATCACTGCATAAAAAGCAACAGCGGTAATCTGATAAAATAATACAAATAATGACTACTGCTACTGCTGGCACACCAGACCAAAACACACACACACACACAACAATAAACTCCATTACCACAGTTTTACACAAAATCTTAAAAGTAAGTACAATACTACACTTGGCTGGACTACTCAAGGAATCATATCCAAAGCACTACAGTATTAACACACTGCAGGATAAACCTTTACATACAAGCCTCAGCTTTATGTCCAGAATATATATAAATAACTGAAAAAAGTAAACAATCTTAACATGTCTATAATATCAAGTTTCTTAATATAAACTTGCAATTTCTTTAATATTCCTGAAAGATGTCTGAATGTTCTTAAGTTCATGTAAATGTATTTCAAATGTGTGCAAGATCAATTCTTAGTACAGTACCTCTCTAAATAAGGGTTTCATATTGTCTGTATCTATATAAGGGATGAAATATATGAAAAGGTCAATTTTATTTTCCTCTACACACTACTAAAATAATCAGAACAAAATAATTATGAAGTAACTTAAACTTTGTATCC